ATTAACACGTACCCGTTAGTAGGGTTAAAACTTCAAGTGCAAATATGTCGAGAACCGAATTTCAGAACAGGATACTCATAAAAAAAGTTTCAGCTGAAAGCTGCAATACGCACATTTCCTTAGTCCTCGTACATTTGTCATTCATTTTAAGAGTCCAATTAATTTGTACATTGTATTATAATTGAATAGAAATATCGGTCAATAATCTTATCGTGACTATGATCAATGATAATATTCATTTGTATTTTATTGCCTTGGTTTATTATGAAGTAGGTACGATATGATGTGTTGCGAATGAACCCAGTTGTTGCAGAGAATAAGAAGCATTTTGCCTCCCCGCTTTAAGGGCAACAGGTGAGTATATGAATAAGAATTCGATTCCTTGACCTAATGTCAAGTAAACTTAAAATTAAACCAACAGAATTGTAGGAGTAAAATGAAAACAATCTGTGTTTACAGTGCTGTCATATTGAAAACTCTTCTATATATTTTTCTTATACAAAACTTACTCGAAAACTTTTGACTCATCTTATCGACAAAACCCAGTTTTAGACATTTGTCAGATCACTAAACTGAGATTGTCTTTCAAGCAAATAGGTACACAGATTTGGTCTCACCATTGTCTCCAAATCGTTCACCTAAGGATGTTGTAATTTGTGATTCGTTCTTTTCCTATGCATGAACCGGATAGTTACAATGCAAAACTACTTAGAGTGTTGGTTTCACTGCCAACACTTATTCCAATAAAGGTTACTCGATAATATAAAAAAAACGAATCTGCGATCTGAGTTTCAGATCCGTGAAATTACTCTATTTTATGTCAATGTGTAAGTCACAAATTGACTCACCTGTGCTATTTCATATTTTATAATTAGCGGCAAGACATTAAATCATAACAGGATTTTTCCTAAAAATTTCTAGACGGTCATTATACAACTCAATATTTATCCATTTAGGACTATTATTTAATTTAACCAGAAATCTATACTACTAAATTTTTGTTTTTTAAGTTTTTAACATCCATCATTGAGTGATTTCAACTACCTTCCCTCCTAATCCTAATCTTTTTAGCAAATTCACTTGCACACAAAACTATGTCTTCATTAAATAAATAGATTTCTAAAACCCCTTACTAAGATTTACTCTGGAATTTATTTACATCATCTAGTATAAAAAAACAGTAATTTTGTTTTTAAGATATCACGAGGACAGTCAGTAACTTGTGTGCTGTTTAAGCATTACTTTTTTTTGCCGAAACCAAGGCAAAGCTCGATAAACACTATGGGGACCCTGCACAATCAATTTCAATGGTTAAAGAGTAGTACCGACTCAAATGACGCCGAACATTTGGTCGATCGGAGAATGATGTGAATGTGTGTGAAGTTGCTGAGGTTGTAGGCATCTCAACTGAACGGGTACCCACATCACATTTTACATGAATATTTGGGCATGACGGTGAGTGTCTTCAGGTGAACGTGCAACATGCATCATGGGCAAATATTATTCAGATTTTTGGACAGATTAGATATTGATTTGAAGCTTAAACGATCGCATTTCTATATGTGTAGTCAACATGGCTAAATTCCATAATATGGGCTATACTACCACTACATCCAACATTCACAAGATTTAGCGCCGTCCGTCTATTTCTTATTTCCAAACCTGACGAAATGGCTGGGCAGTAAGAGATTTTGGTCGAATTAAATGAGGGACATGAGGAAACCCATTACTTGGAAGGAATAAAAAAATTGGAAAAACGGTGGAGTAAATGTAACAGGGGACTATGTGGAGAAATAAAACGCTTATATTTCGAAAAAAATATCTTTCATTAAAAAACTGACTGACTCATAAAATTACCATCGTAATTTCGTAGGCAATACCACAGACAACATAATTATACTATGTTGTCTGTGGCAATATTCAAGTAAAATCTGTGCAGTACCTCAATTTCCTTCACACAAAATATTCCTCACATTCTATAAAGCCCGGTTATCCTGTTTTGGTATAGTAAAGTTGCTCCCCCACAGAAATACGAGTAGTAGATAGGTTCGGAATTAAAACTCCTTAACGAGTTATTCTTTTCTTTGACAGTATATGTAAATTCCCATGTGACAATGTTTAGGATGTGGATGTCCATTCCTGAGCTTCACCACTTTCTCTCCTAAAGATTTAGCTTGAAATAACTTGAATTCTTCAATCTTCAAAACATCCAATTTGAATTTACTTTATATTGCTTGTGCTTCAACGTCTAGTCTAAATACAGGGTCACTGATAAGTCTGGAAACGGTCGATACTCGGAAAAATATACAAGGAATCAAAAAAAGTTTTATAAAAAAGATTTGAGGTTCTTTAATATCTACTAGGCAGTAGTAGATTTTAATTGTACAGGGTTAGTCATAAAGGTGTGGCACACCAATATAGCATTTTTTTAAATGGAACGTCCTGTATACTATTCGATATTTCAATTCTTCTCTCAATTTTGAGCATAATTTGCAAAAAGCATAGTGTACCAAAATTCCATCGTTTCCGAGTTGTCAAGTTTTGAAAATAAAAGGTATCGCTTTAAAATGTATTGAATAAAGAACAATAATTAATGATATCACGAATTTCTGTTGAAAACATTTTGTGGTTCTGAAAAGAACTGTTTGTGGAGTTTGTTATGATGTTATGTTTGGAATCATTAATTATGGTTTTTTGTTCAATTATTAATAACTTTTAGGATAATAGCGTTTATTTTCAATACTCGATTACCCGGAAACGGTTGAGTTTAGGTACATTATGCTTATTACCAATTTTGCTTAAAATTGAGAAAAGAATTGAAATATTGAATAATATACACGGTGTTCGATTTAAAAAATGCAATTTTGGTGTGCCGCGCTTTTATGAGCAACCCTGTATAATTAAAATTATTATTGCCTAGTAGACATTAAAGAACCCCAAAACTCTTGTATAACGTTATCTTGTATATTTTCCCCGATAATTGACCGTTTTCAGACTTATCAGCCACCCTGTATATCTTCTGACGCGCGCTTTTGGACAACTTTCCTGTGCCTGTCGCAAACACGATTTTCAAAACTTTCCTTATCTAAACTTTTACTTCGGACAGGCGCTCGTCCGCAACCTTCTCGGTCCAACGGCCAACATCGAATCCATCAAGTTGCATTCCCAACACAACTCCCCTTTTTCGTCAACCAATCAGACAAATTCTACTCAATTTGGTTATATACGCAATTTTAGTGTAAGGGAACCAATATCTACTACGTGAAGTTTATCTAATATCTTTTCCAAATTAAATTTGTAAACAATTACAAGTTCAGATACTCGTATTGGTATACAAATACTTTTAGGACATCCAAAAGAACCCGTAGACATTGTGACGTACCCAAGTCGACAGCTCCCGCGCTAACAAAAACGATAAAAACCCGACTCAGCAATCGCTGGATTCCCTACATGGTGGAAGCATTCACTCGTACCCAAGGTTATTATCGGAAAGGTGGAACATAACACACTCATTGAATTTGAAAAGGAAATGAATGTTTATTGAATAAGTGATCACAAGGGTAAAATGAATTAAAATGCCGAGAGTTCTTACCAATTCAGACAGAATAATTTAAAGTCAAAAAATTGACAATCACTGTTCAAAGCGGGTAAGTACGAGTATATAGGGAAATCTGGAGCAAGAGAGGTAACTGTGAAAAATGCTAAACACAATGTACATCACATTTACAATACACAAAAAAAAAATAAACAATCCGATGAAGTAATTCGTGAATTTGAATAATTTAAATCTGACGTTCATTTAATAGAACATTTCATAAGCCAAAGAATGGCCAGCTCAAGACAGATTTAAATGAAACTCCAGTCCTTTCCCATTTGTTACAAACAACATTGTTAATTAACCGGACTTTCTCCGGTCTAGAAGGTATCTGAGGGTCCTGTATACGGTAACCTTAGACTAAAGTTGTATTTCGAGATAAATGCCGTTAACTATCTTTATCACGTCGGCATCTAGCTCTCCACGGCCGAATGGGGTTAATTACACCCAAAAAAAGCAGATTGGTACACAAAGAATTGAAGTCGTTGAGCAATCAAATGAAAGTTAATAACTGGCCAATCTCAAACAAATCAAAATAAGAGTAAAATTTACAATTACAACTAAGCGCATTACATTTGTGTTTGATGTAGCACAAACACGAAAAATGAATTATAGAATTAAAACAAATTCGACTACCCATATACTCTTTGGTTATATCTACTGATACGGCTGATCTTTGTGTGTCAGTAGGAGCTTGTACGTCCGATGGTGGCATTACCTAGAGCCTGTAACACAATCCAATTTTACACTTGTAGCTCTTTCATAACACAACTCATTTGCATATACCGAAATCAGTAGGACTTGTTACAGTTATGGTTACACAGGTAGATTACGTGTAACTTGTAGACTTGTTACAATTGTATAGTTTGTGTTACAGGCCCCAGATGTCGGTAAAACACACAGTATAAAAGATTTACACTCTGAAAAAGGAACCTTTGGTCTCCTTGATGAAAGGTCCTGGTTTAACAGGCGGGTATGTGTTGGCCCTTGCGTTCCTTCATGGTAACGAGGGCTGGCTGGTAGTAATCACCGTTTTGATGCGAATTTGTGCTGCGCTTTCGTAATTACGCATTTGGACGCAAAATTTAACCATCATCAAAAAAAAAAGATTTATGCCGAACTCACCTTCTACACTCCTATTCGTATAGGTATTATTCTAAAATCTTTGGCAAATATGGTGGAGATATCATTAAGTGACTTAGGGCTTTGAATATAAAATTATATTCAAAGCTTAGGGGCAGTTAGAGCTTAGAAATTTGGTGGAAAAAATGTGCAATGGCACACAAATCGCAGTTTCGTTTTTAGGTATCTACCCTTTTTATACGTTAATCATAGAAATGGCGCTTATAGATGTGTATGGAATTTGGGAATCTATTTCGAGTTGTAGTAGTCTACATTATCTCGCACGAATCGATATATACGTACCCAGGGAGTGTAACCATGGAAATCTTGTATCAGACAAAGACGATGTTATATGCGTTTACGTTTCGTTTTAATAAGTGGTCACCCGGATGACACGCAATACACATTAATCGTTGAAAATGGAAAACATTTATCGTCTTAAAAAGGTAAGCCATTTGAAGTAATCTTCATTGTTACGATTGTGTCGTGTTTAATATATATTAATTTTGCAAGCTACAAATATAAGTTGCGCATTTTACTCCTTGTGTTGTGCCCGGAAAACTTACATTGGGTAATTATGCTTTTCAGAATATGGTTTATCCTGAAAAAATAAACTTAAATGAACTCTCTAGAAAAACATCCGCATTTTCCACTACTTCCTGGTGTTCTGAACCTCTCGATGACGGCAACACAGATGATAATACTGATTGCAACAAAGAGAATGTCGATGATCTCAGTGTTCGAAGCGTTAATGGTGGCAGTGAAAAGGATAATTCCGTAAACTCTATCAAATCTAACAATTCTGTGTGAGTATAACAGAAACGGTTGTGTAGATAGGCCCTTCAAAATTATAAATATTCGTGCAAGATTACCAGAAATGAAATGCAATTTCGGTCTGGTTTCCCTTGATTGTTGCCAGTCCTCATTGCTGAGATCTTACGCTCTCAAACGGACGGAATGTCGTCGCCGTTGCCGATCGGAACCTGTCTGCTGACAGCGCAATTAGCGCCCCCCTGACTGTCAGTGCATAATATGTATACAGGGTGGCCATTTGAAAACGAAACAGAGCCTATTTTGGGAACCTCAAAACATTTACGAAAAAATCCTCGGACCCGTCAATTTTTGATTCAAGGGGGAACCATTTTTTTTGCTAGTTTCGCCCCCCTAAGGGCAAAGCCCTAGCGGGGTTGACGACCGCCCCCAAAATGTTAAATGGGGGGGCGAGTGATACATTATTTTGAAGGTATTTTGTGGATTATAACCCTTAAGTTTTAAATCGCTACTAATTTGCCTAGCCGATACAGGGGCTAATAAAAGTTATAAAAACGTGTCAACATTTTCTTATGAAAAAAAAATGTTTGTAAATGAATTAGTTAAATAACAAAAATTAATACAACAATAAATACAAAAAATGTTGTTCTCCTACATTCTGAACCATACTTTTTGTTGTTTTTTTTTCTTTTTAATACCTGTAGGTGGCTATGCCAATTCTGCAACGGAAATCTTGGTTATTGTTGAGAGCGTTATTATAACAACATTTTGAAGTTTAATAGTGCTTGTCAATTGTTGTTGTCAAAACATAGTAGTGACAAATAGCACTTTAAAGTTATTTAGTTGCAAAATCGGTACATTGAACAGTAATAATAATGGTTTATTCACTTGCTGAAAGAGTTGAAATAAATACTCCTTTTTCCTAAACGATACTGTGAATCGTCACAACTGTCGTATTGGGCTGATTCAAATCCCAGAATATTTCGTGAGGTACATACACAACATCCCGAAAAATTGAATGTTTGGGCTGGCATTTTTGGTAACCATATCCTAGGCCCCTTCTTTTCACCTGGCAATCTAACAGGAGAGATGTACCTGGAGTTATTAGAAAACACGATTTATCCAGCATTAGTGGAGATACTTGAAAATAACAACGAGTACTTGGAAAATCGTCTAGTATTCCAGCAAGATGGTGCGCCACCCCACTATGCTGCAAGGGTTCGTCAATATTTGTACCAAACGTTTCCAGGACAATGGATTGGAAGAAGAGGAGCTATTGAATGGCCTCTTCGTTCCCCGGACTTAAGTCCGTTAGATTTTTTTTTATGGGGGCATTTAAAAACTAAAATGTATGCTAGTCAGCCAACATCGTTAGACAACTTGCGACAAAGAATAATTGATGAATGTCGTCAAATCACCCCAGGAGTTTTGCAAAAAATACGGGAAAGGTTTGAACAAAACCTGTATTATTGTATGTAAGTCGAAGGCCAACATTTTCAACATTTACTTGATTGATTTTACCTTTAAGCACTTAAAATAAAATTGATTTAAATCTTAAGAGTTATAATCTATATAAAAATACCTTTAAAATAAGGTATCACTCGACCCCTCATTCGATTTAAAATTTTAGTGGAACTTGTCACCCCCGCTATGGCTTTGCCCCCAGGGGGGCGAAACTAGCAAAAAAATGGTTCCTCCTTGGATCAAAAATTGACGGGTCCGAGGATTTTTTCGTAAATGTTTTGAGGTCCCCAAAATAGGCTCTGTTTCGTTTTCAAATGGCCACCCTGTATATGTATGCTTATGACGGTAATCTCTACGGAGGTTTTCCTGTGCACAGGTCATGATGGATAACATTTCTACCTGAGACACTGTGCTATATGCTGACCAGGAGAGAAGCTGACGTCAGGTCTCGGTCGACCACCATATATACCCATGCCCGTTCCCCTGTCTTTTAGGGAAGGGACCCGTCTGTAAGAGACCCACACGAGCCCCTCAGGAAAGATCGTCTAGACGAGACACATCTATTGGCGATGTAAAAGCTTAATTGTGAATATCTCGAAAATGTTGGAGAAAGGTACCTACAAAGAGAAAGTGCAATATTTCGGAGAATTTCTCCAAGGGTTTGATTCTTCTTGCATTATACAGTGTCGATTTTGCATGTATGCTAGGGTGCCTTTAAATGTTTATGTGTAAAGAGCCCCCCGTTAGTCATCTACCAAGAAAATAAACATCGATAAATATACGTTAAAACACAACCATTTACTAAACTATTTCGCTTACACGCCTTATTTGCATCCGATATGGATTAAATTTCCTACAAAATACTTCTCGACAGCCTATGTTTATCATCAAACATTTTAAAGCAATATCTGGATGTTTTTCCGCAATTCCCTTGAATCCAGGATTTGTGTAACTTCTGTGACGCTGCAGTTGACACGCGCCTTCTGACTCGGAAAACCAGCGTGCATCTTGTACGTACCCAAGTTTAGGGAACCTTTATTTGATAGAAAATGAACCGATGGGAACTCTAGAATTTGTTCAAACATTTGTTTCTACTCCCCACTCTTGTCTCACGGGATCTAATTTTACCTTTTGCACTTGCTCTTTGCACAACACCACAGTAAAATATCATTAAAAAAGATTGATCACTCACAGATTTCTCCCTACAGGATTGCGAATAAGCAATTTATTCGAGACCGAGTCAGAACCTTAATTGATGCTTTCACACAACGAACACGATCAATACGTGAGACGATAGAGCTACCGGTAACCCCTTCAATTAGTAGTCAAGAGGTCACTCCAGGCGTAGCGCGAGCAAAAGAAGAAGACACGGATGAAAACATGGATTCAACAGCAGCACCTGAAGACCAACCAACCAACCAAGAGAGAACTATATATGAAAGATTTAATAGTTTATATAATAGTGCAACACTGGATTCACAGGGAAAACCATATTTAATTTGGATGTGTGTCGCAGCGTCAGCTGTTATGTACAATCTATGGGCAGTGCCGCTGAGAAGCACGTTTCCTTACCAAACACCATCAAATCGAATAGTGTGGATGTTTTTTGATTATCTTTCTGATACAATATACCTTATAGATGTTCTCTTTATTCAAACAAGGACAACGTATGTTAGTCAAGGGTTTACAGTTTCGGAGTACAAGCTGACGAGATTAAATTATTTTCGCAAGATGTATTTCAAGGTAATGTATTGCCAACGTCAATAATTAGTAGTCCTTCTATCTGTGTTGCAGCTGGACGTTTTTTCTTTGATACCATTGGATTTACTATTCTTCTATATTGGCCCTGACCATGCAATTTTTAGGCTTCCCAGAATTTTTAAAGTCCATACATTTTGGGCACTAATCGATTTTATTGATAAGTTAGTTGCATCGCCCCATATCATACGTCTTACCAGAACATTACTGAATATGTTTTATCTTATCCATCTAAACGCTTGTGCATACTACGCAATATCCTTGTGGGAGGGCATAGGAACTAATGATTTTGTTTATGACGGGCAAGGAAATGCTTATATTGTGTGTTTTTATTTTGCGACTAAAACAGCAACGTCAATTGGTAAAAATCCTAAACCTACACAAGAAGTGGAATACATGTTCATGACATTCTCCTGGTTGTTGGGAGTATTCGTTTTTGCTGTACTAATTGGTCAAATAAGAGACATCATCGCTACGGCTACTCAGTCCAAAACTGAATACAGAAAGTTGGCCGATGAAACTCTAGAGTACATAAGACGTCTTAATTTGCCGCAGGAGATGCTAAAACGAGTCCAGGTGTGGTTTAATTACACTTGGGAAACCCAGCGCACCTTAGGTAGGTACTTTATACTAATGTAAATTTAAGTCAAATATGAGTACATATTTGCAGACGAAAATGTAATATTGGATTTTTTGCCACAAAAAACTAAAGCGGATCTCGCAATGGACATTCACATTAAAACTTTAAGTAAAGTGAAGATTTTTGCCGATTGTGACGAAGCCTTGCTTCGTGAACTAGTTCTTCAGTTGAAATCCGTCATTTACCTTCCCGGAGACTTAATCTGCAAAAAGGGGGATATTGGAAAAGAGATGTATATAGTTCAATCCGGTAAAGTTCAAGTGTTAGGACCAATAGACAATTTGGTCCTCGCTACTCTTTCAGAAGGCTGCGTCTTTGGGGAAATAAGTTTACTGGGAATAAAAGGAATGAATCGCCGTACTGCAGACATTAGGTAATTCACAAAGGTGTATACTTCAATTTAACTATTTATTCGATTAGATCTTACGGTTACTCCAATCTCTTCGTTCTGAGCAAGTCAGATTTACAAGATGCGTTAAGATACCACCCGGACGCGCAAATGCTGCTTGTTGCAAAAGCTAAGGAACTTATGAAGCAAAACGAAGAAATGGAACGTAAAAACAAAGCCACGATAGTTATTAAAAATCCGAGCGAAACGGAATCCGAACCAAAAATTATTAAAACCGTTATGCAAACATTGCCAGCAAATTCGAATCTCAATCACACGCTTACGAGTGGGTCGAAACGAAAATCGTTGCCAGCAAACTCAAATGTCAATTGTACCAATGGGCCGCAACGAAAATCTTTGAGTAACTCGAATAAATTTCAGTCGCGATACACTTCGCCAGCAATCGCCGAAGACAATCGCGATTCTGACCAAACGTTTGAGACTAAAGTTACTGTTCATAGAACTTCAAATTAAACTAATACCATAGGTACTTGTGCAGACTGATTATCGAAGATGGTCGGTCAGTTGTATTTGAGGAACACTGTATGTTATCCACTTGATACTTTGAAAAATGCCATTTCCAAACAAGTCAATATCCTCTTTTTTCGCGGCAAACGATTTTTTCCAACGTACAATTCATCTATGGAATACATAAAATCGTTAGAGAATTTATAGCATTTCTTAAAATAACATATTGGAAGAAAAAATGTTTTAAAAGCCACTCGTGAATGTTGCCGCGTAACATAACTGTAAATGATGAGTAACGGGCAAATATAGACAATAGCATCTATCAATTAGCGAAAACCCGTAGTAAAGTTTCATTTATTATATCTTTTGTATGTGTCTTTGATTCAAGAATTACTACGAAAAGGTACATTTCCAAATTTTTAAGTGCTGATATCAGTACTCAATATTATGCTAAAATGTTCAAAATGTTGATGTACCTACTTTATTTATAAGAGGGCTGAGGGACATACATAAACAAATTATGTATAATGTACTAGTTAACGAGCTGTATCTATATCAACTTCTAATGATTATTTTTATACTGTTTGTCATGGACAACGTCCAATGGAAAAGCCTTATTATCTGTAGGTATTTTCTGATAAAGCTACTACTAAGTAATTATAGACCGAGAGATAACGACAGATTTTGTGCGATGATTTTTAAACGTCTGTCACCGGAATTTTCTCTCACAAGTTAGAAATAGCATAGCTTACACTATGGAAATAGCGTGTAAATGTATTACTCTCGCTAGGAAAGATTGCCGGTCACAGCACACCTTATGTTGATCTAAAATGCGAGCGACTTCCGGAATAGGATCGTGCCAGTGTTGAACAAAAAGTCTTTTCGGTCAACATTGACACTATACTATCCCAGAAGTCGCTCGCAGCTTTGAATATAAAATTATTCAAAGCTCGCAGCTTAAGAAGAACATACATTGCAGACCGAGGTGTTCTGTGACCGGCAATCAAAGTTTATTATAATAATAATACAAGCTGTTTATGCAAGCTGACGCCTTGCAGTCCTATATTTGCATGTTAAAATTAAAACTTTGTTAATAGCTAGCATTATAATATGTAGTTCATCGCCCACTCAATACAATTGAAACAAATTCATCATCTACTTGAAAGTGCATTCACAACTATACACTACCATCGAAAACTCAGAAAGCGGCAAATCAGAGCTTTTCAAGTATCACTCTTTTGGTGTTGTTAAAATGCGACTCTTGAATCAAATTAAGTTTATTACAGTGATGAGTGATTTTTACTTACGTCAAAGTTGAGCGTGCAGAGAAGTTGCAATGAATCATATGTTAAGCTTCCTTGGAAACTCAATTTTAAATAACAGGTAGGTAATCGAAATTAATTTATTATAAATTTATAATTTTAAAACTCAGTTTATTTAAAAATTTGAAGCTAGTTAAACTCTAATTTTTAGCGGCATCAGTTTCCGTTTGAGTTGAAGGCTCAGAATTTGGATTTTCAGGGTTTTCAAAATTATTTCCATCGAATTCCCCATCATTTACACAGGACTGTGAAAGCTTCTCAATTTCAATTTCATTGAGGATTTCAGCTCGTAATTTTGATTTTAACGCAGTATCCAATCGCGCTGGTTTCTCTGGATCAAAATGTTGGTTTGGACGGCCACATAGGTAACAGAACTTAGCAGTACCTGTAAAAATCACAGAGGCACACACAAATATATATAAAATAGTAAATTCACATTTAAGTGTTTAAATTTTACCAACTCGGATATTAACTTAACTTACACCTCAAAAATACAGAACAGCGTACACATCTACGATACAATCCATCGGATTTATCAAGGAATTCTATTTCTATTTGACAAACACGACATTTTTGGTTGGGGTACTTTTCCAACGCGAAACAATCAATAACCGCGTTACAATTAGTACAAAATCGATCGAATCTGTCCGTCAGTACTGGCAAATTATGCGAGTGCGCCGCAGAAAATCCCCCTGACCGTCTTTCTTGAGTACCACTTGGTTGCGCCATTTTTTGACTTTTCTAAAATTAATCAGTATCACAAAAAAGTAGGAACGTATTGATTATCACTGACTAACTTAAATTAAAACTTCGATTTCAAAGTTAAACTTGTCCTGTATCCTTCACTCACGTAACACAAATGTGAAATGAACTTAAAATGCACCTGAAATTAATGTATTCACGACTCTTTTAAAAGTAAAACTAAACCGCGGACTAAGCATTTTACAGACAACGACTCACTCAGATCGAGTAAAAATATTACGTAGAATTAACCATGAAAGAAAAACAGCACCATTGTTTAAATACTTTTTAAACAATGACAGCACATTTGCCATCCAAGTTTTACATTACTGGGTACGCAAACGTATATATGTAGGCATTAAAGAATTTCTCGGTAAATACAGTTATATGTATAAACGGCGTCGTCTTCTTCGTAAATTTTTCCTTGGCTATTCCCGTCAACAATTTGCACAAATAGGCCATCCCGACTTTTGACACGCGAAAATGCTGTGTACAATTGTCCGTGTGTAAAAACAGGTTGAGGAAGGTACACACCAATCCTTTCAAACGTTTGCCCTTGCGATTTTGTTATAGTAATCGAGTAAGCAAGACGAAGAGGAAACTGCTTTCTACTAAATTTAAATGGAAGGTCCGTGTTTGATGAGTCAATTAGTATTCGCGGAATTAGAACTTTCTGTCCTTTACGATGTCCAGAAAATATGCTGCACTCTATAATATTATTTCCAAGTGATTCCACAATCAGTCTCGTCCCGTTACAAAGGCCATGCTTTGGATTTAAATTTCGTAACAATGTGACGCAACATCCTTGCTTAAGATTCAAGCAGTGTGGCGGAAATCCCATAGGTGTCAGTGAGTGCAAAAATTCAACCGGATACTGAGCCTCCTCCTCCTCACTTTCGCATTCGGCGACCTTATCAATGCTAAAATATTATCACAGTTAGTTTAGCGGTAAAATAATGTAAAAAAAACTTTAAATGTTCTCGTATTTACCTGTAATATGATTTTTGCTCGCCATTCAACATGGCCAAAACTTTTTCGTTAATTAATAGCGTGTCCGCATTTTTTGGGCATAGAATAGCCATTGACGCAAGACGATCTGAGGACAACGTATTGATATTTTCTCCGTAAACAGATTTGACAATATCGTCAGTAATTATATCACTGCTTAGCTGAACAAAATCACAGTGTTTTGCTGCAGCATCAACTCCACCTCCAACTGATAAGAGCCATTCTCCAAATACTGCATTGCCTTGGTTTAGTCGCATATTTTGTAACAGTTTAAGCTCCTTGAAATGTTTCCAAACCGGGCTGCTTTTCACGCATGCTTCCACAATCTGGACCCGAGTTCCATGCGGAACAACAGGTGCCTGTTGGCGAAAATCCCCCCCGACCACTATAACAATTCCGCCAAACGGATCATCGCAGTTCATCAGAAATCGTAGGCTTCTATCAACAGCGTTCAAAAGATGAGCATGACACATTGATATTTCGTCCCATATAATTAGCTTTGTATTTTTGAGTTCCCTCCATGAGTTTGTGCCTTGTTTAAAACGCGATGTAGTTGTTTCATCAAGATTGATGGGGATGCCAAAGCCAGAATGGACGGTTTTTCCACCTAAAATAAAAGTCATAGTGAATTTACATTTTCAGGTACACTTTGTTGTTTTCATTCAAATACCTTTGAGCAACGTTGCAGCTAAACCTGTTGGAGCTACAGATTTGACCGTTCCTCCATTTCCAAGGATTGTTGATGTTAATGCTTTATATACAAACGTTTTTCCACATCCTCCTGCTCCAGATAGATAAAAGCATTTGTTTTCTGAGATGCCGTTTACAGAATCCATGATAGTTTTGTAAGCAAGCAATTGCTCTGCATTGTCGTTCATCATTGTAACCAATCGATCAGCTTCTTGTTGCTCGTGTACAGCGTCAACTTCTTCCAAAATGTGATAGCCGTCTTTTGGAACTGGAAGTCCATAGTCTTTGCACGATTTTCCAAATTGCATCAAATGCTCTTGAATATCTCTCAGCGCCTGTTGCTCTGCCATATACTCACTGTGGTTCTGTAGGTAATCCTCCATTAACGACGTCTTGTATTTTAAGTACAATTCCGAAGAGGTGCTCGGATGAACCTGGATTAATATTGTCGCAAAAAGTAGACGCAATTCTCGTGGCATTCGAAAAAGTTCAGCTTCGTCCATGGCTTTGTCCCACTCTTCATCATCGTCTAAAAGGTTAATAGCTTTAGCAGCTTCCTGATATGTATCGTGAAGTTTTCCGTTCACAGTTCGTAAATCTTCATAGGATGTGGCGCCTGTCAATTAAATAAAGATTTTGATTTATATTATTAATCTTATGGAATAAACAAAAAATGTAAGTTTTGTTAAATCCATTTTTAACTCTTACCTCGAACATGAAGCAACAAAAGCCGAAGGCAGTATTTTTCCATATCCTTTAAATTTACAAAGTACATCCTGGCAACTACTTTATCTCCACCTAGTTTCCGGGGCTGCCAATGGTTGGATCTCCAAACATAGTGGTAGGGTATATCACAGTATAAGTACTTCCGTGCATTTACGTCGTTTGCATTTAACTGGAACCATCGCGTTAATTTGGTCCCCTTTTTGGCAGCAGCTTCCAAATCACGACGCTCAGCGCCCTCTTCAAAATATACCATTTGCTCAAGCGGGAGGTGAACAGGTAATCGCTCAACAGAGTGGGACCTTCCGGACATTTCGTATTTTTTTAACCTCCACATAGCTTCCGGCGCTGCTATATAACGCGTGTCTAAATAAATCTTGACCTCATCCCAATGATAAGTTCCAGAGCCCGTTGCTTCATTCATTTGAACAATGGCGGCATCATGGCCTTTGTAAATATATTTAAAAATATATTTTATGCTCTGGATTGATGAGCATATTTCAACATTAATGTGAGCATTGTACTTTCGCGACATGTATGGATTGTACGGGACTACCCACCGATTATCTAGTTTTACTCCTTTTATTTCCACAGTACGGTCCAAGTTTCTGCGACGATAAATTGGATAGCCGTTTACATTAATATTTGTTTCATCGCAGAATTCTTTTGGAAATTTTTTAATGCAGGAAATATGCCCTTTGTTCTCTTCCATGCAAGGGGCATCTTTTTTAAGTTCACCGCACGGGCCATGCATCATGCAAGACGTTATTATTTGAAATAGAACTGGGTCAGCAACAGGATCCGGAATCTCAGCAGAAACTGCATTATCAACATCAGCGGCTTCGCGAAATTTGTCTTCATCGTCAAGAATAACTAACATGTGGCAATGGGGCAAACCTGCAGCAATAGACACATTAAATTTTCATTTTTAATCATTCCATTAAAGTTGGTTAGAAGATTTTAAAATGAAACTAAAAATGTACTAACCTCTTTTTTGGAATTCAATTGTGTAAATAAACGCTTTTACTTTTCCAAAAACTCCTCCCTTGTTAGACACCAAATCGTTAATAAATTCCTTTAGCTTCAAATGAAAAACGGTCCCAACCAAATCCGGTCTATCAATTGCTGTTTCTTTGTGTTTTAATTCGTCGCGGATTTCCTTCCATGTGGGATTGCACGTGAAAGTAATAAATAAGTCTGGCTTTCCGTATTTCCCAACTATGACCATTGCGTCCTGATAATTCTGAGTTAGAGCGCGTTTACTTCCTGTAAAACTGGATGGCAAAATAACAATTCGTCCTGGCTTTAAATCCTTTATTTCCGCCTGGTTGTGTACGTAATCCATAAGGCCGCTGTACATGTCAACTCGCAATTTCTTTTGATTTGTTTTATTCCAAACTAACCGTCCACCTTCGACTTTCAAAAATGCATCCACAATATACATTTGCGTCAGTTTGCCTAAATGAAGGATTGGGTTAAAAGACTCTCGTTCTTGCATCCGGTAGGAATAAAATTCCAGCATGGAGATATTTACAACCTTTCTTGTCTCGTCAGCTT